AAAAGTGATTTTACAAGTTGTTATTACAATGTGTTATATCGTAGGTCTATCCAAAACTGGACCTGTACCAGGTAAGCTTGAATTTTATATTAGATAATAATTATATTGACCGCCTCAATGGTCCAGTGATTTAGGACACCTCTTTACTTTCGATGGTCGCGCATTCGATTCTGCGCACAACTTGTATTCATGATTATGGTAGTTGTTATCTTATCTATGGTAAAATGTAAGGTGGGGTGACTCGGTTTGTGGAATGGTTAGTAGACAATATTTAGTTTGTTTTACTGGCATTAAATTATTGAAGGTACTACTGAAGTATATTGGAGTATCTAAGTGTAAGATGCTCTAATAAAAGATAACAACTTAGGCTTTGAAGCCGGCTACCGCAAGGGAAAGCCCAAGTAGCACCTGTGACTTGTGACACGGGTGTAGGTTTAAAAGGCCCTTTTAGAATGCATTAACACTCACCTTCACTACTTGCAGTTTCCCTCTATGCTCAACTAAACCCATTCCTAATACACTACACTTTTGTATCCAAAACACAACCGGCACGCTCTGCGCTCGTCGACTGAATGCCGCAGCTCACCCAACCAAAGAGGATTATTCAACTACCGACCTCCGTATTTATAGACCGAAGTCAGTGTAGTAGGTTGGTCTATAAATACTAGATGGCGCTATTTACAATATTTGTAATAATCTTTACATTGGGTACTTCATTAGTACTAAACACAAACTACCTTCTTTTAATATCGTTTTAAAATATCGGATTTTCTCTATAATATTGATGTGAACTCTAACATAAGTAACTGTGTCCCATAGATATTTCCCCTTGAAAAAAAAAACATAAATTGAACTAAATCCTTTATTCTACATTGCCTTGTCTTTATCCCATTATTTGTGGTCGGCGCAGTATGTCATTCTCTTCCACCGCTCTCTATCGGCCGTCATATCTGAGCATACTCTTCTTTTATTCATATCATCTTTCACACAATCCATCCATCCTTTTTTGGGGCGTCCTCTCCCTTTCCATCCATCCACGTTCATATACACTTTCCTTAAGACATGATCCTCGTTCCTCCGCGTAACATGCCCATACCAGCTTAATATATTACTACAGCTTGTGTTATGGGTACAGACAACTGATACAAATACATAGTTATGTTTTTTTTCGTAAATACATACATATTATACATAGAAAATACCCACACCGCTTTACGTCCGATGGTCGCGGGTTCGATTCCTCGCACGGCACAAACATTTGTATTCATACTAAACCACTAGACCACCGAGATCGTCAAATCTACACATAGTGTTATATATATATATATATATATATATATATATATATATATATATATATATATATATATATATGTTTTTTTGTTCGTAAATACATACATACTTTTTTTGGCAGTATACACGTCAGCTACCTGCCAAAAAATAGTCCCAAAATAAGGAGTAACTTAGGCTAGTTTTATTTTAGAAAAATAAAGTTATTCCAAACGGACAATACATTCACATGTAATTATAAATGTATTGACTACTTGTACGAAAAAAAAATATTTTGTAATAGTTACTCAAATCATTATGAATTAGGTAGAGGTTTGTGTCATCAATAAATTTAAGATCGAAGCAGGTCATCAAATCATTCCAATACTTATAATATATATATACATATATATAAATTACCATTTGCCACATTTGTTTGGGAAGTTAAAACGAATTGGGACGGCCGTTGTGCCGATATATTAGGGTGGTGGACAGCCCTAGTTGAATGAATTAAATATTACGACATTAATATCGCCCGAATTACTTGGTTTTATGCAAAATACACTATTATATATATATATATATATATATATATATATATATATATATATATATATATATATATAGTGTATTTTGCATAATACCACACTATATATATATATATATATTCAATTCGTTTTAACTTCCCAAACAAATGTGGCAAATGGTAATTTCCGTTCAGTGGGCGGCCGAGCCTCCCCTCTCCCTTTGTCCTGGATAGATAAGTGCTGGAATGAACGGTGACCTGCTTCGACCACCATTAAACTTATTGATGACTACAAACCTCTACCTAATTCATAATGATTTGAGTAACTATTACAAAATATTTTTTTTTGTACATCAATACAGTATTACATGTGAATGTATTGTCCGTGTGGAATTTAACTTTATTTTTCTAAAATAAAAGTAGCCTAAGTTACTTCTTATTACATCAGCTACCTGCCAAAAAAAGTCCCGTCAAAATCGGTCCAGCTATTTCAGAGATTAGCCGGAACAAACAGACAGACAGACAAAAATTGTAAAAAATGTTATTTTGGTGTATGTACCGTATTTATATTCATAGGCATGTAGTAAAAAACGGTTTTTTTTTCAATATTACAAACACTCCAATTTTACTTATATAAACAAATGTGTAGAAAATATTTGTTCATGAATACAAATGTTTGTATTGTGTAGCTATAGTATTAAATACAAACAACAAAATAAAATGTTAATCATTAGTATCCTTATGCATTTGTTGTAAATGTATTTTAAAATACATTGCTTCTAAATGTTGCTATTTATTTTTAGTAGGCGCTTAAAAATGGAAAATGCCATTATTCTTACTAGACAGGGTTATTCATAGAGACTAGGTATCGTACCAAGCCAAAATCAAGTAAAATAGTTATAAAAAAATACCACTTTCACCAAGGAACCAAGTGGACATTTGAAAATAAATTTTGGACATTTGATATCAAATTGATCACTTAACCTCGCGTTTTGTGCAATCGTTTTAAAAATAAGATCTATTTTCCACTTTCTTGGAGAAAGTTATTGAGTTTCATGAATATTATCAGTATACGACAATATTATCTTATTACACTAATAATGAGTGCGTAGCGATTTCTATGTTGATTATCGCATGCCTCTTACTTGTTTTTTATAATAATTACAGTACATGTAATTATTATATAAAAACACAAGTTTCTTACTCATTCTTCTTGTGATGAATCTGCATTCCGAATGAGTGGTAGAATCAAAATATGACTATTCAAAAGTGCTTGTAATGAGTTTATTTGAATAAAGATTATTTCTATTTCTATTTCTGTACTACTTAATGGATTTATATTATTCTGTTTAATTCCGCTACATTAATCATCTAATTCGATTAAATCAGACATGGCGGCGTTCCGGCGTTCCTTGTCTTGGCGGAGACAGAACTCTTGGAACGCAAAGTTCCGCTTTGACTGCTCTCTGTGTACGTGGGCTCATAATCTTCGTAATTCTTAAAATTCATTACTTCCATTTTTTATACTGTCTTAGATTGTTTATGAAACAATTGAAGATAGGTAGCATAACAATGTGATTGATGGTAATATAGGATATATTTAACGACGATTTTATTTATATGACGATACTGTCCTTGCTGTTCCGGCTGCGGCGACCGCTTCACCTCAGTGTTGCACACGATCAGACCACCGAATTTTCAGGAGTTTCCGTAGGCTTTTTAAGTGAAAGCTATCCAATATGCGGATGTGACGACGATACACTACCCATGTCTCCGCAGAGTAGAGAATAATTTTCAGTACAGTAGCCATGTATACAGATATTTTAGTAGCCAATTTCAGGTCATGTGAGCGGAAAACTGATGCCAGCACCGACCCTGCTATTGATTTCGTTGTCGAGATCATGTTTCGAAGACAGTGTACTCCCCAAATAACGAAACTTTCCAACTTCCTTCAGAATGTCCTCATTCAGAATTGCCATGTATACCACATATAAACACATTTTATACTCTCTTCAATTATTCAAACTAATGAGATAAATATAGAGCCTCTTTTATTATGAAAATCAAATTCAGTTGCGTGTAATTCTAAAGGAATTTTGTTTAAAAATATGGCTGGTTTGAAATGTTAATTTCCATTTTCTATGGACAAAAGTCATGAAGTTTAAATCTAGATTGTGGAATGTTTTTATAGTAGCATGTTTTGTATGGAGGGGTTGGGGACACGTAGCCTTAACATAGTTGCCGGTGATGGGGTAGTTGCACTGGTTTCACTAATATGATTGCGCTCCACAAACGTGTGTAGGACATGTTGTTATAATGGAATCGATGACTCAAACACTCTACAGGACACAATAATGATATTGCTATATTTTATAAAATACTCTGACCAAATATTATAGTATTATATTATCATGTATATGTATGATCTTATATCTATTTAATATAATTACATTTAATTTATTAAAACTAAACCGCCTTTGAGTATCTCTGCACTCCCTACGGTTGGCTGGTAGAATGCTATCAGCATTAATCCCGCCTATTGTACAAAATCAATAAAGTTAAATAAATAAATAAATATTATAACCAAATAATATTTTTTCAACCGATTTCAACATGATTAGTATTATTTTTAGCCGATAGCAACCAGGAAGAAGATATTATTAAAGACTGGTCTTAATGATTATTTACAACTAAGTGGATAATGTATTAATTATATTTTTTCAAGAAAACTTAAATGGCAAACAATTGACGGCCCATCTGATGCAGTATGGCAACTGTCCCCTGTGGGGGGAAGGGGATTGTTAGATTACTAACTAATTAACTATTTGTTAGCAGTGGGATTATAAGTCCACTAATGTAGACTTATAATCCCACTGCTAACAATGTACCAAGTCAGGTTGACCTCCACGAGGTTCCCTCTGGAAACCATTGTGATGAATTGCTGGTGAATATGTCACGGTGGGCTAACTGATTTGACTTCGTGCTCATCTGATCACCCTCCACTGGTGCCCCGCCAGCGTAAACCGTTAGCGCAAAGAGTGCACCATTTCATTATCATCCATAAAAAAAACTGACCTCTATGTAATCTAATCTAATAATATCACTATAGATATAACGTCGTCGAAAGTGGTTTGTTTATCTGTATCCTGCTATTTTTAATGAGAACCAAAACCAACTGTTATTCAGGTGACTGTTTTATTTGCAGCTATCCAGGACAGTCGGTGCTACTTGATGAACGGCGGCGCGGTGGAGAGCTTCTTCATCAGCGAGGACCTCCCCGTGGGCAGCATCATTGGTATGTGGTCCCCATATATTGGGTTATTTAGGCTATTGTCAAATACTTGAACCTGTAGCACTGCGACCTACATAGATCTATTGTGCTCGCCCTTTTTCAAAGTACGCTGTCCCTATATAACTCATATTTAACATTTTTTTTTTAAATACAATTTTCCACAGAACAGAACACCCCAAAGTAAGCAATGTAACACCAAACTTACTCACCTTTGCTCAGGAATGTCACGATGTGTAGTACTGTTTAGTGGCCACGCACTCTACAGTGTATGTATATTTTCATAAAAACAATTATATTGTAGCTAGTTGACCCCGTGAATTACGTTCCGCCTCAAAATTAAATGTCAGAGGTTTTTTGAAGTTTACTTACCCAATAAATTTCTGAACGCACCCTGTTTGACAGGTATCAGCAGTTTGTACGGGAAAATAAAATTGTTGTTTTTACTATTTTACAAGCAATTTCTTCATATTTTATCACTGTTTAAACCTTCCCTTGTCTTCCTTGAATATTACAAGACCAAAATTAGCCAAGTCGGTTCAGCCGTTCTCGAGTTTCAGCGAGACTAACGAACAGCAATTCATTTTTATGTATATAAATAATTAAATTTATAATTTTCTTGTTTTATATAGTTAAAAATACCTTCTCCTTTTTATTACAGTTCTTATTTTTTTTTTATTATTCTATATTCGAAATTTAAGTGGCCATATGTTTTATTTGTGGCCAGTATTACCAAGCGCCCTTTGCTATAGTATGTAATTTTATGTTATCTGTGGCTATAGTAAGCAAGTCGGTGATACAACCTGCTTAGACTAAGGAAGTTCGGAATACGGAACAAATATTTTACCTCTGAATACTGATAACACGAACTTAGTATTGACCATTAAATATAACGTAGACTCGACAGACGATATTCATCAGGGGCGGATCGTGAATTTGTGGGGCTCTGTGCTAAATCGACTTTGGGGGCCCACCGACCAAAAACAAGCGACCACAAATTCCCCGTTCCTTTCGATAGACGCACACTTGCATGGGTTCATTAATCTCAGGGTTGCCAACTTTACGATTTTATACGTATAATTAGTAAAAATCACGGAATCTTACCACGTTTTATATTTATTTGCTGAGTTACCGATATTTGGTCAGTGTTTCAACCACCATGATCACGGGTAAACTGAAGATACAGCGGGTAGATGGAAAATGAAATCTTTATATGGGCAGACATATGCGTCTACCTTCACACGTCTTAGTTTGTTGCTACTACTGGAAGCCGTGATTTTTACTAATTATACGTATAAATAATTTACGATTTTTTTAACAATCTAGATATTTATTTTGTTATATTCTAAATATAGTTTCAATGGGGACTCGAGGCCCTTTGTATCCTCGGGGCCCTGGGCTGCAGCCCAAACAGCCTTTAGGTAGGTCCGCCCCTGATATTCATTATGGTTTTCTTAGAGAATATTTCATCACATTAAATAAAGTTAGCGGACATTACGGAACTGGAATGAATTGATGTTCTCCAGCCATTGTGTTGTAGCCGTTAAAGTACAATAGTCAATTCAAATGTTTTCAATTATGCATTTTTTAAGAGTTAGAAAGTTTTATAGGAATGTAATATATTATTGCATAGCACAATAAAGACGTATGCGGTTAATTTTAGGGTTGCCAAGCCCAAATTAAAAAAACCAGGATCAATAGTTCAGAGGATCGGAAGTAAAGCGATGTGATAAATCGTTAGACCACCGACTGTCAGACTATATCCAGTTATAACAAGCACTAACAATCTGTATCACTAGGTCGTTTGTATAACAACTCTATCATGTTACATCACATTCGTATTTTTTTTAGAGGATGATAATGGAATGATGCACCCGTCTACGCTAATGGTTTACGCTGGCGGGGCACCAGTGGAGGATGATAAGATGAACATGAAGACAGATCAGTTAGCCCAACGTGACAAATTCACCGGGTATTTATCACGATGGTTTCCAGGGGGAACCGCGTGGAGGTCGACCTGACATGGTACATTGCTAGCAATGGGATCATTAGTCCTTCACATTCGTGTTATAGTAATTCATTATGTGATAACAATCCTATCAACTATCATAAGGGGCCATCTGACATTCACGGGAGGCTCGAAAAGTTCAAAGCTCGAAAAGGGGGTTCGGTAAAAATAACGAAATATCACAAGGGGAATGTAGTAAGATTCGTGTATTCATCAATGCGCGATTTCAGGACTGAAAAACGGCTTGTAGGGTACTTTTCTGAAATAAACTTATTTTATACTTTTCTAAAATTTTCTAATATAAAATTAGATTACACTAATCTAATCTCAAATTTAAAAAACTAGGATTGGAATTTCAAAAAACCAGGACTATCCAGTTTAAAAGCAGAACGCAGCAATAGTGTTGCAATAGTTATATTAATATTTAGTAAAATTCAAGTAATTAATATAATCAGGTTTTAATAAAACGTATTTGATAAAATATACTGTTGAATATCAGTAATTAAGAGGCGCGCATGTTTTAATAACCCAGCACGCTGACAAATAACTATTCAGGACTTACCAGGACACTTCAGAAACTAGGACATGTCCTGGGAAAACAGGACGGTTGGCAACTCTACTCCAAAGTGACAGGTCTACAGATTTTTAGTCCTTCGATAGTTTTATATGATGCCCGATTCCTTAGATAATAATAATAATTTTACACAATTGTAAAATAATTAAGAGGCAGATTATTTTAAAAACCCAGGATGCTGATAACTATTCAGGGCATCCCAGGACACTTTGAAAATAGAAATAGAAATAATCTTTATTCAAATAAACTCATTACAAGCACTTTTGAATAGTCATATTTTGATTCTACCACTCATTCAGAAACTGCTTAATCGATTTTTATGAAATTTTATATGCGTATTCAGTAGGTCTGAAAATCGGCTACTATATATTTTTTCATATCTCTAAGTGATAAGGGTTGTCCATGCATAACATTTTTTGGATTCTTTGGACAACATTTATTTTTTTATAATGTGGCATTAAAAATACATAAGACTCTAAATGTTCAAAATAGAAATAGAAATAATCATTATTCAAATAAACTCATTACAAGCACTTTTGAATAGTCATATTTTGATTCTACCACTCATTCGGAATGCAGATTCATCACAAGAAGAATGAGCAAGAAACTTGTGTGTTGCTCTTTTTGATAGATGTTTTTTTTTTTATATAAGTAATTACAGTATAACAAGTAAGAGGCATGCGATAATCAACATAGAAGTCGCTACGCACTCATTATTAATGTAATCAGATAATATTGTCAGTGCTATAGATTTAAAGTTTTTCTTTAAAAACATTATTATCGTTAATGAATTCTTCAATTTTATAGTAAGCTTTTTTTTGCAAAGGAACTGTTTTATTTGACATTTAAATCTTTTTTCTGGCAGATTTATAACAGACTCTGGTATTTTATTGTAAAACCTTACGCAATTTCCATAAAACGAATTACTAACTTTAGCCAAACGACATATAGGTAAAACTAGGACATGTCCTGAGAAAACAGGACGGTTGTCAACTCTAGTTAAATTGAGTGTTACCGCCATGTTTTTGGTCAAAAAATCTTCACCTGCCGACTACGTGTTGTTTATTAGCGTTGTGGTGTGGTGAGTTGGTCAGTATTCATGATAATGAGGTCAACAGTTCAGTCCTCAATAACGTTATAAGAAATTTTATTTTATTTTTTATTGCGGACTACTTCTTTATAAATCTTTATATTATTGGCCTATTCTATATTATTATATTTATTTTAAAGACTAGCTACTCGTCCTGGCATTGCCCGGGTACCTGTATTATACATATAAACCTACCTCTTGAATATACCTATATTTAAAAAAAAAACGCTTCAAAATCCGTTGCGTAGTTTTAAAGATTTAAGCATGCATAGGGACAGACAGCGACAGCGACTTCTTTTTATACTATGTAATGATGCGGATATGCTTAAATCTTTAAAACTACGCAACGGATTTTGAAGCGTTTTTTTAATAGATAGAGTGATTCTAGAGGAAGGTTTTTGTGTATAATACATGTACACCCGTGCGAAGTCGCTACGAGTAGCTAGTTTTTATTTTTTTTTTCTCAGGACAATTCACACAGCGCCATCTAGACCCAAGTTAAGCTAGCTAAAGCTTGTGTTATGGGTACTAGATAACTGATACAAATACATAGATATATATATATTTTTTTTAAATACATAAATATTATACATAGAAAACACCCAGACCAATATAAACAATCATACCCATGAATACAAATGTTTGTGCCGTGCGAGGAATCGAACCCGCGACCACCGGTCGTAAAGCGGTGTGCTAGACCACTGGACCACCGAGGTCGAGGAGTTAGTTCCATTTCGCCCTTATTCCTGGTATTATTCTGTATCTGAATTTAGAAGTACAGGTTATACTGACGAAGTAATTCTAAATGTCTTAGTATTATAAATAGTTGTGAGAGTTTAGGATAAGCTACTTATATTCAAAATTCAAATTCAAAATATCTTTATTCATGTAGGTCTATTACAGACTCTTATGATATGTCAAATCTACCGTCAGTTCGGAATGATATCGAGATGAGAAGAACTAACAAGAAACTCAGCTCGTATTTTTTCAAATAATAGTTGAACATGTTTATGATAAATACAGTTATTAAAATTCAAATTTGGGAGAATAGAGTGACCACCAGCATATGCTATATCTGGATATGTTTGTCCATCAGGAACATTGAGCGTAAACGGGGACCCGAGTGAGAACGGCGACATAACCCTGAGACTGCAGGAACGTGAGGCGGCGGTGGGTATTGCCCCCGGCTCCAAGAACCTGACGCTGCTGCGCGCGCTGGACCGCGAGGAGAGCCGCGGACCCTCCAACGTGTACGTCAACGTGAGGTGCGACCGACGCCGTACCACCGACCCGGTATGTTTTTTTTTTTGGATGATAATGAAATGAGTCACCCGCCTGCGCTAACGGTTTACGCTGGCGGGGCACCAGTGGAGGATGATAAGATGAACATGAGGTCAGGTCAGTTAGCCCATCTTGACAAATTCACCAGGAATTTAACACGATGGTTTCCAGGGGGAACCGTGTGGAGGTCGACCTGACATGGTACATTGCTAGCAATGGGGTTATCAATCCACATTACTAACAATACCCTTCCCCCCGACCCGGTATGTTACCATGACTTTACCGTTTACCTTTCACCAATCCACTTTTTAATGGAATGGTGCACCAGTCTGCGCTAAAGGTGCAGGTGGGATACCAGTGGAGAATGATGTATGAACTTGAGCTCAGGGAGGAAATCATACCAGTCACCAATCCCTTTTTTTAATGGAATAGTGCATCAGCCTGCGCCAAAGAATTGCTCTGGCGGGACATCAGTGGAGAATGATATGATGAAGTTGAGGTCAGAAGAAAGACCCCTTCCTTCTTCTGACCTCAACTTCATTGTTAGTAATGTGGACTGATTACTAGCAATGACCTCGTGCTCATCTTATCATTCACCACTGGTCTCCAGCCAGCGTAAACCTTTAGCGAAGGAAGGGAAGGAAGGAAGGAATATTCCATTATCACCCATTAGAAATAGAAATAGAAATAATCTTTATTCAAATAAACTTAATAGAACACTTTTGAATAGTCAAGTTTTTTTATTCTACCGCTTATTCAGAATGCAGATTCATCACAAGAAGAATAAGCAAGAAACTTGTGTGTTGCTCTTTTAAATAAATATTGAATTAATTATATTTAATTAACAACAAGGATTAGGCATGCGACAATCAACATAGAAACTGCTGCGCACTTAATCTCTGTTCAATCAGATAACATTGTCAGCGCTATGAATTTGTTAGAAAACATAAGGTCAGGTCAGTTAGCCTATCGTGACAAATTCACTATAAATTCTACGATGGTTTCTACGGAGAATCACGTGGAGGCAGTCTGTCATACATTACATTAGTATATTGCTAGCAATGGGATCCTAAAACCACATTACTAACAATCCCCTTTTCCCCTTAATAATCCATCTTGAACCCCAACACACAATCATAAGATTAGTAATGTTTTTCCTCAGCTGAATTTATTTCTTAATCCTGTATTTAGGGGAATTTCCAAATTAAGTTTGTTGATAATCTGCTATTATTGTGTATTGTGTGTACTGAACAATTGTATTTAGAAAAAGTATATATAAATCTAAAATTAGACTTAACTGTCTACAGTTAAGTCTAATTCTAGATTCTCTGGGCAGCATATTTAGAAATTATTCCGGAGGTCAGCTTATTTCTCAATATTATATCAAAAGTTAGCGGCCCGAATGAGTAGTGAAAAAAAAGACTATTCTAAAGTGATATAGTTTATTTGAATAATTTTAATTTCTAAATTTGTCTATAGTTTAAGTGCATCTTTAAGTAGAACATTGAAAATGTACATATTATTACCTCAGGAGAGACTATTTTCTTTCAGCATATATTTGTCTACTGCTGGACGTATGCCTCTTGCATAATTTTCCACTTCAGTCTGTCTGTGGCGTGTCTTGTCCAGGTCGGTCCTGCCGTCTTCCTGATATCATCGGACCATCTGGCAGTTGGTCTGCCTACGACTAGAGAGACTATTGCAGACCTACAATTGAGTAATACTTACGGAATTCTCCTCGTGGTGGGTTGCAGAGTTTCGTGATCCCGGTGTCGGTGCGCGTGTGGGACGTGAACGACAATGCGCCATCGTGGGCGGGCGCGCCGTACAGCGTGCGGCTGTCGGAGCTCACCGCGCCCGGCTCGCGCGTGCTGCCCGCGCTCAGAGCTACCGACGCCGACCAGCCCGGGCCCCACGCCACCGTGCACTACTCCGTGCTGCCGGGGCCGCACAGCGTACGTACTCCACACGCTGCACTCTACGTACTGTACACTATACGCCGACCAGCCCGGGCCCCACACCACCGTGCACTACTCTGTGCTGCCGGGGCCGCACAGCGTACGTACTCCACACGCTGCACTCTACGTACTGTACACTATACGGCGACCAGCCCGGGCCCCACGCCACCGTGCACTACTCCGTGCTGCCGGGGCCGCACAGCGTACGTACTCCACACGCTGCACTCTACGTACTGTACACTATACGGCGACCAGCCCGGGCCCCACGCCACCGTGCACTACTCCGTGCTGCCGGGGCCGCACAGCGTACGTACTCCACACGCTGCACTCTACGTACTGTACACTATACAATTACACCGCAAATTGCACATTACTACAAACCACATACTTAACACCCATTCCCAAATTAAAGAAAAGATAACAGTTTCAGCAAATAACATAATTCAGTTATCATAGAAATGAAGCAGGGTCACAAAAAATCAAAAATTCGGTAAACATCTGGCATCATTAACAATAGATGCTTTACCTAAATGACTTAATGGCATAATCACCTAACGTACCGCTAAATATGTATGTATAAATATGTATATTTGTAGTAATATACTTGCTTGACTACTAAATCATATCTTCTTAATCTGATAACGGATGACCTTTTTTTCCCCAGAATATCTTAAGAAAGAAATAACAACAAAAAATATAAAATAATTAATACTGTTACAGTGTTGGTGTTTTTAGAAACACAATAATGGACTTCGCAATTTTAATTACATAAATAAAATGGCCTAATGGTGCTTATTTATAATGTTATCCTCAGGAATACTTTGGTTTCGCTAACGAGTTGGACAGCGTGTTAATGGTGAAGAAACCCTTGGACTACGAGACTTTAAGAAACTTCACTGTAACGTTGCGAGCTCAGGACCATGGCACGCCACCCTTGCACAACGACACACAGCTGTACGTGGAAGTGTTGGATGCCGATGATCAGAACCCAAAGTTTTCTCATGACCACTACTCGGCGATATTGCCTGATAATGCGCAAGAGGTAAGCTGTAATATTTTCCGTCCATTATTTATATTACCGTCGAAATTTTGGTCATCTATTTTTGGTAGTTTTGTATTGGGTACTCTAATTCACATGATTAGAGTTTCAATCCGAAACCGATTAAATATTTCCTCAACTATTAATTAATTAATTAATCAGATAACATTGTCAGCGCTATGAATTTGTTAGAAAACATAAGGTCAGGTCAGCTAGCCTATCGTGACAAATTCACTAAATTCTACGATGGTTTCTATGGAGAATCATAATCATATTTCCTCAACTAGTTTAGGATACATACCCCGCAAATCTGCCAATTATTTCTGAAATGTTCAAAAATTACATATTTTGATCAATTTATCCTTGAGGACAATTAGACGATTAAGAATAAGACGAATGTGAAGGATATTCAATTCATATGCTATATTCGTAGTAATATGACCAAATCATATATTTATTAGCAGTTAGTGGACAGTCAGAACTGAAGGTCTCAGTCTACGTCATCTATAAATTCCACAGTTTGTCTTCGTGTATACAAATCTATTACAGAAAATCTTATAAAAGTCCTAAAATAGTCCACGATGTTTCTGGTCTCCTGGTATCCGCATCTAATTTTGCTTTGTACATGTTATATTAGTAGTACATAAAAATATAACTATATTCTTCTATTAATATTTTCAGGGAACAATATTGGAGACTTCCCCAGGTCCAATATCAGCGGTGGACCAGGACGTGGGCATTAATGCTCCACTGTACTACTCGACGTCTGGAGACAACCGCGAGCTGGTAGCCGTGGACCGCGACACCGGCCGAGTGATGGTCACCGCCAGGCTGTTGGCCGAGCGGCAGCTGCCTGTCACCATCGTCATTAAGGTTATTCAATGAGGTTCTTGATTCTTATGGATGATAATGGAAAGGTGCACGCGTTGTTCTAACGGTTTATGTTGGCGGGGCACCAGTGGAGGATGATAAGATGATCATGAGGACAAGTCTGTCAGCCCGTCGTGGTAAATTCACCACGAATTTATCACGATGGATTCCAAGGGAGGTCAATCGGACATGGTACATTTCTAGTAATGGAGTTATTAGTCCACAGTATTAACAATCCCCTACACCCGGTCACCTCGACTTGTTCCTGATATGCGAGTTAGTCTTGAAAACTAAGCCAGCTTATTCATTGAACTCTATAACGGCTTGGTTCGCAAGAAAGGGGCAGTGACAAATGAGAGAGCGTGGTATTCCGCGTAGACGATTGGGCGTTACGAGGTGATATGATGATTGTGTTTGCAGGCGACACAGGTGGACAACGCGGACCGGTACGCGCTGGCGACGCTGGCGGTGCGGGGGGCGCGGGCGGCAGCGGCGCCGGGGGCGCCGCCCGGCGCCGGTGCGCGCTTGCCGCCGCGCGGCGGGGGGGGGGGGGGGGGGGGGGGGGGGGGGGGGGGGGGGGGGGGGCGGGGGCGCCGTGCTGGCCGCGCTGCACACGCTGCCGCCGCGCGACGCCGCCGCGGTCAGTGACTCCGCCGTGTGTAGTCGACGCCGCCGCATCAAAAACGTGTGTATCCGGGGTGCGAGCGACCAACGCGGCCATAGACATATCAAAAACTATCCTCCAAATGAGAAAATAAAAAATAATAATGAATAATGTGAGCTCACTCAACACCGGCAATCCGGCTCGAAGGATCAAAGTATATATGTATAAAAAAACCCACAGTTACATAATAGACTGTGAGGAAATAAATAATAATTATAAATAATAATGTCAGCCCACATCCGGCTCGAAGGACCAAATTATGTGTAGAGCTTTAAACACAATTCCACGATAAAACCGCCTGAGTTGAATGCAACTTAACCATTATTTTTATTGCTAGTAACAATATAATCAGATTAAGTGGATTATGAGTTGAAATTGTATGTGTTGGTAATAAGATACAGCGCAGTAAGCATGCATAGCATCTACTAGCCTCCTTAAAAGATTCTAAAATCCGGATATCCACATCTTCATTCACGAGTCGTGATTATTAAGGCAACGAAAATTAATCATTATAATGATACAAACAACAACAACAAACAAACAAACAAACAAGTACAACAAACAAACCGTTGTATAACTTTTTAAAGTATACCTCTTGTGTTGCAGAGCCCATTACAATTTTACGTGTCGGACCGTAGCTTCTTGGAGAAGTTCGCGATCAATAGCAACGGTGAAGTTATACTGCGCCGCGCACTCGACTATGAAACGACAAAAGAGTATTTTTACCAAGTGATGGTCACTGACGGAGTAGCTGTGAGTATACCATATCATGTGCTGTGTTTAAGACAATTTACTATAGAGGACCCTACAATAAAACACACAACTATTTACACTGCGTATATTCGTCATCGTCTTGACCAAAAAGCGATGAAAAAGATTTTTTTCGGATTACTCTAATGCTGTTGGCCGCAGCTGGCCTTTACAGCTTCACAGACGATAGGGGCGAGTACAGATGGCACTCCAAACCAAAGGAAGGACTTATGGAGTGGCTGAAGGCCAACTCCCGCCTGACGGTTTTGAACCTCGGTTCAGGCCGTCGTAACATCGATCCCCGTTGGAATTGGATGGAGGATCAATCGTAGGGGAAAAAAGAATGAATACAATTCCAGTCCAGATATATCTGTCTAGTATTACGTATTGCCGATATATTAGAATAGAATAGAATAGAATAGAAAATCATTTATTCAAATAAACTTAATTTAAGCACTTTTGAATAGTCATAACAATTTGTTTTTTATCTACCACTCGTTCGGAAAGCTGTCTCATCACAAGAAGAACGAGCAAGAAACTTGTGTGTTGCTCTTTTAAATAATCCTTGTAAGTTTACATTTACAAGTCGAAACGTGTGAATACAAACTACCAACAAGCACTAATTTTTGGGTCAAATATAATCATGCAATAAGATTTAATCAGTCGTAGTGATAAGAGCAGACCAGTCCCTACAAGCAGCACTCGTTCACGAGTATGACGGATGAGCCAGCCATCACTGCGCTCGACCATATTTTAGGGAGCCCATTGACCCGGCCCACCACGCCGCCACATGTCTGGACATTTTAGTGAGCATGACTACTCATTCCACACGACCACGTCACAGCTATAAAAATTACTATATGGTAGTTACAGTATTCGCACTTTACATAAGGATGCATGCGGCAATCAATACAAAAGCCGCTACGCTATCATATATCAAGAAAGCAGTATGAAAATTAAAATTATAACGTTGTCCGCAAATAAACTTATTCTTGCTATATATTGCTATCATCTATAAATTCATCTATCTTATAATAGGCTTTTTTACATAACATTTGTTTAATATAAGATTTGAATTGCCTCTCTGTAAGATTTAGCGTAGACTCTGGCAGTTTATTATAGAATCTTACGCAATTACCATAAAATGAATTACTAACTTTGTGTAGACGGCATTTAGGTAAAATTAGCTTATTTTTATTGCGTAAGTTTCTACTTGTACAGTCTTTAAGTTTCTTGAAACTATCTAAGTTTTTTCTTGTATACATAATATTTTCATAAATGTACTGTGAGGCAACGGTGAGGATATTTGATTGTTTAAACTGAGCTTCATTTATCTGCACAGTTGAAACTGAATTATTATTTGGCAAAGTTGAATGATCACATGTACAATGTTTAGTTAACGACTCAAAACGGTCAGCATTGTATTTACTGACATCAATCAAATCATCCATTGCTAAAATATGCTCCTGGATTTGTTTTTGTGAGATAGTATACTTGTTATTTAAATCATGAAGCGATGATTCTAAACTCTTTATTTTTGAAGTTAGGTAACTTGTATCCATGTCATATAACTTTTGGCTTTCCACTAGTTTATTACATACTTATTAATATAATCATGCAATTTTAAATTGTTTAAACTAGTTTTTTTTCAGCAACTGACCATTTTTGGAACGTTTATATAATATACTCCGAGTCTTAGTTATAAACTTTTTTAATTTTAAATATTTTTTTAATTTATTATGACTCAACATACATATGTTATTATTATAGTTGCCCTGTGATGTGTCACTAGTAAGGTCAATCACAACTGGATGGCTGCATGGAACTGAAGTAGAAGGAGGCATACAGTCGACACTAATAAGCTCATCATATAAATTACTAATCTCATTACTTTGTTGAGATTCAAATTTTGTGTCAAGATCATTAATTTTAAGATATGCCTGCTTTAACTCAAGCTCCAACTCAGTGATACGCCTCAAGGCTTGCTCATGTGTATCACTACATTGGTGAAAGCTACTTAATAGTTCTTGAAGCTGATTGCTGCTCAATAACTTCCTGATGACTATTATAAAGTTCTGACAATTCAGATTTTAATTGTGTATTTTTATTTATAATTTTTAAAATTTCATCTTCACTCTCTTCTCTCTCCCTGATCAACTTGTCACTGAGATCTTTGGATGCCTGAAGTTCTTGTAGGGCCACTTTAAGCTTCATCTCTGTCTAACAGCAGTTTGGAACGGGTAAGATAGTGACATTATTAAGAATATAAATAGTTACTAGGGAGAGTGAAGTGAGCTATTTCTAAAAGAAGCTAAGTATTACAACGAGAACAGCAGCTGAACCTTACTATACAGTTTAAGTGTTAAAATTGTGAATAAATTCTCCTAGGTATATTATAAACAAGTTATATTTGATAAATTGATAATCTAAATAAACGTTTTAACTGAATAACGAAATAAATGTAGATAAATTGTGCTCTTTCCCTTTAAATTATAATAATACAAAATATAAAAAGACTTACAATTAAATTAGTGGGTATTTTTTTCCTTCGACGTATGCAACAACCGAACTTCACTATAATTATTATTAATTTAACTTAATATGAATATTTTATGTAAAACTTGCAGTGATTATGAGTTTCTTGGAATAAATCCAACAAACAATTGCAAAATAATTTTGAATAAAACTTAGTTGTTCACGAACAGTTTGACAGATGGCCGGTACACTATTTGTAATGTCGATTTTTGCAAGTAATACACCACTAAACTGTACACAAACAACAATCGACACTAATTACACTATTAGATCACTAATAACAATATTGAAATTATAATATTTGTATGATAAACAATTAAAATTTATTTATTATTACGGCCAGCTGAAAATGACAATTGTCGTCGGTGTTGCCAGTCGAAGAAAAAAAGAAAAAAGAAAAAATTAAATAAATGTAATATCAATCGATTGCAGAACGATACAGCTACCATCAATATAACAGTAGTGAACGTGAACGAGTGGGAGCCTCGGTTTCGACACCCACAGTATGAGTTCCGTGTGGACGAGGAGGCTGCGAGCGGAGGCAGCAGCGGAGGCCTGCTGCCGGTCGGGAAGCTGGACGCGTACGACGGGGACGCCTCCGACACTGTCTCGCTCACGCTGCGTGGTACTCACGCCAGGTGCCTATTACGCAGTATTTTAGACTCATGAAATAAAAATAGAAATAATCTTCATTCAAATAAACTTAATATAAGCACTTTTGAATAGTCAAGTTTTTTGATTCTACGATTTCATGTTGCCGAAAAACTCCCTAGTAAAAGAAACGGACTAGTTAAACTAATACTATATAATATAACTATACAATAATTAGCGTCTAACCTGAATATTAAACAAATTCATCATCTAGTCAAGATTCCTGTTTTAATATCCCATGAGAAAAAGATATAGAAATATACAGAAAAATTTTTTATATAATAACTTTGTATTTTGTTTTTCTCGAGATTAGAATAAAAAAATTTAAAAAGATAACAAATTGGCATTTCGTTGCAAAAATATGGCAAAAAATTTTATTAGCGGTATTTCGGAAGCTGCAGTCCGTTAAATTAAATTACAGAACATTTCAATATTGCATTATTTCATATTATCTATGGTCAAAATTTAATTCTGAAACTTTTATCTTTCCTCGACTTTTAACTTTCTTAGACATAGACACCTATATAAATACCTATGCATTGTAAATAAAATGACTTTTAAAAAAAAGTAATTCAATTGAGTTTCTTGCCAGTTCTTCTCAATTAGATCTATGTATATACCGAACTGGACGATAGGGAAAAAAATTATAATGTAAAAACTTGACGTTCATAAGCGGCTAAAATGTCCTACATGAATAAATGATTTTGAATTTGAATTTGACAGCATGTTCTACATCAACGACGCCGGTGAAATGTTCCTGCGTGCGGAGTCTCTGGCGGCGCTGAACACGTCCGTGCTACACGTGGTCGCCACCGCGCGAGACTCGGGTTCTCCGCCGCGGCAGGTACGTCGCTAGGGACGCTAGGTACGTCAGTCGCATTCGGTATCAGTTCAGCTCGTACTTAACGTTGTGTGTGTGTGCAGACGTCGGTGCCTGTGCTGGTGCACGTGGGCGAGCGTCTGCTGCGCGGCGCCCCGCGGCCCGCCGCCGGCCCGCTGCTCGCGTGTGCGGCCGCCCTCGCGCTGCTCGCACTGCTCGTGTGCGCGCTGCTCGCGTACATCTGTCGCGCGTGAGTACCCGCCCCCGCCCCGCGCTGCTCGCGTACATCTGTCGCGCGTGAGTACCCGCCCCCGCCCCGCGCTGCTCGCGTACATCTGTCGCGCGTGAGTACCCGCCCCCGCCCCGCGCTGCTCGTGTGCGCGCTGCTCGCGTACATCTGTCGCGCGTGAGTACCCGCCCCCGCCCCGCGCTGCTCGTGTGCGCGCTGCTCGCGTACATCTGTCGCGCGTGAGTACCCGCCCCCGCCCCGCGCTGCTCGTGTGCGCGCTGCTCGCGTACATCTGTCGCGCGTGAGTACCCGCCCCCGCCCCGCGCTGCTCGTGTGCGCGCTGCTCGCGTACATCTGTCGCGCGTGAGTACCCGCCCCCGCCCCGCGCTGCTCGTGTGCGCGCTGCTCGCGTACATCTGTCGCGCGTGAGTACCCGCCCCCGCCCCGCGCTGCTCGTGTGCGCGCTGCTCGCGTACATCTGTCGCGCGTTAGTAACTCCTTCTTTCCTTCCCCACCCACTTTGCTATTGATTATCGTGTCATATTCTGTTTTGGATATTTATGCGGTAAGAATGCAAAGATTGTGAACATTATATAATAGAATCAAATTAATCTTAATGTTTGATACAGGAGGCGACGATCGAAGCAAGTAGCGAGCAGCACTCCGCACAAGAACGGCGGGTTCGTCGCTCACGAGAAGGTGCAGCCGGCAGGCGGCGCGGGCGCGGCGGCCGGCGGCGGGTCGGGCTCGCTGCTGAGCGTGTCGGCCGGCGCCAGCACCATCCTCGCCAACTCCTCCTCCAGTCTAGACTTGCGGGACACGCTGCCTGACGGACGGAATTCGAGAAGTGAGTACTGTTATGTTATCTTTGAATGAGTTGTGATGTAGAGTGTGTAGATACATCACTTTAAGTGTTATTTAATGAGAGTAATGTGGTATGAGGTAGATGATATCTGTTGTAACATTCGGATGTGGAAGAATATAGTTAAAACTCTATTATATCCAGAATCTATAAAACAGTACCATTTGAAGTGTTATGGTAACAATGTAAACGTGAAATTGATTGAACCACTTAAAAATTTTATGAATCTGCGTCCATCGAAAAATTTGTTGTTGTTCTGAACTGCTAGAGCTTCTAGGTGGTCAAATATAAGTGTGGGGGGTATGTGCAGGCGGCGCGGCGCGGTCGCGTGCAGGCGGGGGTGCGGGGGGTGCGGGCGGTGCGGGCGGTGCGGGGGGTGCGGGGGGCGGCGCGGTGGCTCAGATGAGCGACCACCTGGCGGCGGGCGCGGGCCGCGCGGGCCGCTCGGGCGTGGCGTGGCCCAGCGCCACCATCCCCGCGCGCGTCAAGCAGCTCAGCTGGGACGACCCCCAACAGGTGCGCACTCCTCACTACACACCACTCGTGCACCCTCACACACTAAGTATGCGGGGGGCCCGGCCGCCGCTCGGGCGTGGCGTGGCCCAGCGCCACCATCCCCGCGCGCGTCAAGCAGCTCAGCTGGGACGACCCCCAACAGGTGCGCACTCCTCACTACACGCGTCGTGCACCCTCACACACTAAGTATGCGGGGGGCCACGCCGCCGCTCGGGCGTGGCGTGGCCCAGCGCCACCATCCCCGCGCGCGTCAAGCAGCTCAGCTGGGACGACCCCCAACAGGTGCGCACTCCTCACTACACACCACTCGTGCACCCTCACACACTAAGTATGCGGGGGCCACGCCGCCGCTCGGGCGTGGCGTGGCCCAGCGCCACCATCCCCGCGCGCGTCAAGCAGCTCAGCTGGGACGACCCCCAACAGGTGCGCACTCCTCACTACACACCACTCGTGCACCCTCACACACTAAGAATGCGGGGGGCCACGCCGCCGCTCGGGCGTGGCGTGGCCCAGCGCCACCATCCCCGCGCGCGTCAAGCAGCTCAGCTGGGACGACCCCCAACAGGTGCGCACTCCTCACTACACACCACTCGTGCACCCTCACACACTAAGTATGCGGGGGGCCACGCCGCCGCTCGGGCGTGGCGTGGCCCAGCGCCACCATCCCCGCGCGCGTCAAGCAGCTCAGCTGGGACGACCCCCAACAGGTGCGCACTCCTCACTACACACCACTCGTGCACCCTCACACACTAAGTATCTAGGCGTGGCGGGCCCACGCATCCCCGCGCGCGTCAAGCAGCGGACGGACGACCCCCAACAGTGAGTACTGTTATGTGCACCCTCACACATCTTTGAATGAGTTGTGACCATCCCCGCGCGCGTCAAGCAGCTGTGTACGACCCCCAACAGGTGCACTACACACCACTGTTATTCACACACTAAGTATGTGGGGGTAGATGATATCGCGTGGCGTGGCCCGGCGCCACCATCCCCGCGCGCGTTAAGCAGCTCAGCTGGGATATCAACAGGTGCGAATCTATACACACCACTCGTGCACCCACAGGTGTTATGGTAACAATGTAAACGTGAAATCCCCGCGTTATCAAGCACTCAGCTGGGACGACCCCCAAAGAATGATTAACAGAATGAATCACACACATTTTTGTGCAAGCGCCACCATCCCCGCGCGCGTCCGCATCTATCGGAAAATTTGTCGTTGTTCTGAACCGTTAGCGTCATCACACATGTAAGTGTGGGGAGTGTGTGCGTGGCGTGGCGCGCGCGCGTCAAGCAGCTCAGCTGGGACGACCCCCAACAGGTGCGCACTCCTCACTACACACCACTCGTGCACCCTCACACACTAAGTATGCGGGGGGCCACGCCGCCGCTCGGGCGTGGCGTGGCCCAGCGCCACCATCCCCGCGCGCGTCAAGCAGCTCAGCTGGGACGACCCCCAACAGCTGCGCACTCCTCACTACACACCACTCGTGCACCCTCACACACTATGTATGGGGGGGGCCACGCCGCCGCTCGGGCGTGGCGTGGCCCAGCGCCACCATCCCCGCGCGCGTCAAGCAGCTCAGCTGGGACGACCCCCAACAGGTGCGCACTCCTCACTACACACCACTCGTGCACCCTCACACACTAAGTATGGGGGGGGCCACGCCGCCGCTCGGGCGTGGCGTGGCCCAGCGCCACCATCCCCGCGCGCGTCAAGCAGCTCAGCTGGGACGACCCCCAACAGGTGCGCACTCCTCACTACACACCACTCGTGCACCCTCACACACTAAGTATGCGGGGGGCCACGCCGCCGCTCGGGCGTGGCGTGGCCCAGCGCCACCATCCCCGCGCGCGTCAAGCAGCTCAGCTGGGACGACCCCCAACAGGTGCGCACTCCTCACTACACACCACTCGTGCACCCTCACACACTAAGTATGCGGGGGCCACGCCGCCGCTCGGGCGTGGCGTGGCCCAGCGCCACCATCCCCGCGCGCGTCAAGCAGCTCAGCTGGGACGACCCCCAACAGGTGCGCACTCCTCACTACACACCACTCGTGCACCCTCACACACTAAGTATGCGGGGGGGCCACGCCGCCGCTCGGGCGTGGCGTGGCCCAGCGCCACCATCCCCGCGCGCGTCAAGCAGCTCAGCTGGGACGACCCCCAACAGGTGCGCACTCCTCACTACACACCACTCGTGCACCCTCACACACTAAGTATGCGGGGGCCACGCCGCCGCTCGGGCGTGGCGTGGCCCAGCGCCACCATCCCCGCGCGCGTCAAGCAGCTCAGCTGGGACGACCCCCAACAGGTGCGCACTCCTCACTACACACCACTCGTGCACCCTCACACACTAAGTATGCGGGGGGCCACGCCGCCGCTCGGGCGTGGCGTGGCCCAGCGCCACCATCCCCGCGCGCGTCAAGCAGCTCAGCTGGGACGACCCCCAACAGGTGCGCACTCCTCACTACACACCACTCGTGCACCCTCACACACTAAGTATGCGGGGTGACACGCCGCCGCTCGGGCGTGGCGTGGCCCAGCGCCACCATCCCCGCGCGCGTCAAGCAGCTCAGCTGGGACGACCCCCAACAGGTGCGCACTCCTCACTACACACCACTCGTGCACCCTCACACACTAAGTATGCGGGGGGCCACGCCGCCGCTCGGGCGTGGCGTGGCCCAGCGCCACCATCCCCGCGCGCGTCAAGCAGCTCAGCTGGGACGACCCCCAACAGGTGCGCACTCCTCACTACACACCACTCGTGCACCCTCACACACTAAGTATGCGGGGGGCCCCGCCGCCGCTCGGGCGTGGCGTGGCCCAGCGCCACCATCCCCGCGCGCGTCAAGCAGCTCAGCTGGGACGACCCCCAACAGGTGCGCACTCCTCACTACACACCACTCGTGCACCCTCACACACTAAGTATGCGGGGGGCCGCGCGAGCGTGATACTTCAATAACAGCAATAATGTGAAATACAATCATCATTTTTCATTCCCAAGAAATAAAATAGTGACACACCACTACTGTAAAAAAGCCAAATATATAATCAGTCTAAGTTATTAGCGTAGTAATACTAGACTTAATCTTTATTTTATCTGTGGTCATTTATAAGACAAATGTCGATAATATGATAAACGTGAATTATAATGATTAGAACTCTTCTCTCCAACAAAAAAAATCATCAGAGCAAATCCAAAGCTTTATGTTCAGTCTTCTTCAAGACTAGCTAATACTTTGTCTACGTTACATTTTCCCCGTTTTTACAGCATTTTTCATAACAACCACTCCACTTCTATTAGTTACAGTGTGGTGTGGTATATAGCCTATAACATTTCTTGATAAATGGAAGAATAAAATATAAAAGAATTTTACAAAAAAATACAAAATCAGTGCAGTAGTTCCAGAGCTTACCCCCTACCACCTCACAAATTTTAACTCTTTATATTATAAGTATAGATTTAATTACGTGACATCTACAGCAGCAATCATGCTAATATCCATAGTGACAGTGTCACATAGTGATTTCCTTACGGTCTAATGATAACAATGTGCAGGACAGCGGGCAGGAGGCGAGCCCGCACGACGCGACCAACCCGACACTGGCCGATCACATGAACCTCACCGTCTACTTCTGAGCGAGCCGGAGCCCGAGCCGGCGCCTCCACCTGCGCCGGCGGACAACACTCTCTTAATAAACTTCCATTCCAAACCACCAAACAACCGCCATTTGCCACCAGGTCGTAATTCTGCACTGATAACTCGCACCATACCGCGTCGAAGTCGCATACCTTCTAAAACTTCCTCTAATTTAAATTCTAGTAAGGATAGAAAACATTTACCCAGTACCTATTCACCAACAACATTACCAGGTCAGATCGATACTAATTTACCTATAAATACTTCAACTATAGCAGACGATACAGAATTAGCTAACACAGCATCATCAAATGCAAGTTTACGAAAAAGAAATGAGCGGCGTGTACCTCCAGCTGTACCATTAAAAAAAACTTCTTCCAACTCTTCAATACCGAGATTAATTGGGAATTATCTTCCCACAAGTTCTGCGTCCACTCCTGGGGCACCTACTTCTAGAAGACCGGCGAGTGCCTCTACATCTAAGTCTAATGCAAACTTATCAAAACGAAATGGACCACCATTAGCGGCCTTGCGAGATATGGATAATGCAAAAAAATTGCTATCAGATTCCGATCATGCTAAGTTGACAATTCGTTCGTTGCCAGAAAGTCGTTCGGTTCCAATGGCGATAATTCCCATTACTTTGAATCAAGGTCCTCTGTCGATTCCTTTGTCTTCTGAAGAGACGAGGACCAAGTACGCGGTGCCAACAACCAGTCCGCGACGAACCCCAAACTCCGCTTCCTATGCAACCATTAATCCTCAGAAACTGAGGACCATGTACGCTAGAGCTTCCATGTTTAGATAGGCCACAGTAAACTCTTCCATTGCGAAATTTATGTTTATATCAATTATTTCGGAAATTTATAATATTTTATTATACGTGTCAAAATTAACAGCTGACACTGTTCCGTGTAATGATAGAGTAAGAATAGAATATCACCAATCCTATTTGCGTCCAGGATCTCGTAAACCCTCTCGTAAACCCAAATAGGAGAACAAAGCACGTCCTACTAGTGCAAGAGAAGTAAATCTCGTAATAAAACCCTATTAGAGATTTAAAGAAGTAAGCTAATATTCTGTTTTTTTATATGGAAGAATCAATGGCCTATGACCTAGTGGATTGTTAATTGGTTGTTAAGATAAACCTAACTACGCTCATATTGAAATGGTTACGTAAAAATTTATTACAGTTAGGTATATGTAGAACAGGAACTAGAGGATATATGCCAAAAAGCACTTTTTTCAATTTTACTCCTTGTTTTAAGCTGCACCTTAAATATGGATACTGGGTATTGCACGCTAGAATCGGGTTTGCATTTCTTCAGGAATAATCCAAAACTGTTAACAAACTTTAGAGATATGTATAGTTACCTAACAATTTAGTTAGTCAATAAATTATGGTTACCAAATCATGAACATCATCAACATTAGGATTATATTTCAAAATGTACCTTTAGTAAGTATTCTGTTTTGTTTAGGACGAAAATGTTTACTGGGTTACGTTATTATCAATGTTATGAAAGTGTATAATATTGAAACTACTCGACTAATTATATTTAATAGCACGGTACATGTACGTATTGTTCCTTTTTCGCGTTTTTATAGTTTATGTTTAGATGTTTAGGTTTTGTAGATTTAATTTTCTTTAAAAGTACTAAAACATTTTGTCTTCCTCTTAGATAATTAGTTAATAGGTACTTGGGTGTATATGTCGTAAAAAATAACTTCTCATCAGGTTACACAATTCAATAAGTTCTTTGTTCATTGCTTAATATAGTTATATTATTCTGTTTAATGCCGATACCATTAGCATGTGTGTGATCACAAATATGCAGTGCAGAAACCTGACCAGTGTTACTGAACTGGAACGTTAGGACCTTCTCTATTGGTGATCAAATTCCAACCGTTATTGGGTCTAGCTTGGTTTACACCTATATTGCGACCAGTAGTATAGCTACCTAGGGACTAGGCGGGGCAGTGCCCCGAGGGCAACCAACCCTTTACCAGCAAATCTCGCTCGACCTGAACTTTTGAGAATTTCTCTTATTTTAGTTATACCTTCTTATATATATATATATATAAGTTATACCTTCGGAATTCCGCTAATTTTTTTCTGTGGATTGGCCTATTGACAACTATGTCAATTTGACGGATAGTGATATGTGCGTTTTAATAAAACTGTAATGTAGGGCCTCACTACTGGGTAGTGGGGCCCCATTTTTTGATTTGCCCCAGGGCTCTTGGTTACCTAACTACGCCACTAGTTACGATATATGTTTCCCCTCTGAAGGAAGCATCATGAAGCATTAAATAGAGTTCGGATATATTCAAATTCAAATTATCTTTATTCATGTAGGTCTATTACAGACTCTTATGATATGTCGAATCTACCGTCAGTTCGGAATGATATCGAGATGAGAAGAACTGACAAGAAACTCAGCTCGTTTTTTTTTTCAAATAATAGTGGAACATGTTTATAATAATATACAGTCATTAAAATTAAAATTTGGGAGAATAGAGTGACCACCAGCATATGCTATCGCAAAGAGCAAAAAATTTAATCAGTGTTCACAACCTGAACAGACCAGTCCCCACAAGCAGCACCCGTTCACGAGTATGACGTAAGCCAGCCATCATTGTACTAAACCATATTTGAGGGAGCACATCGACCCGGCCCACCACGCCGCCACAAGTTTGAACTTTATAGCGAGCATGACTGTTTCAGGTTACTCCACTACGTCAATTATATTATTTACAGCATATCGTTTGTCGTCTTTGGTAATAATACTCACTTTTACAGCCGTATATAGAAGATAACGACAATTTTATTTACAACATTAGTCGTGCCCGCGGTTTCACCCAATTCAACCCAAAATCCATTCAATAGTTTATGCGAGAAAGACTAACAAACATCCATCCATCTGTCTATCCATCCATACTCACAAACTTTCGCGTTTATAATATTAATTATAAGATTTGTTGCGAATTATTAAACGATTACGACCTGGGTGGTAAATGTACGTATGTATAAAAACAGACATTTATATCCATTATTGATTTTTTGTCACTTTCTTTCAAATGAAGAAAATAGAGAAGGAAATGGACTTGTAGTTAAATATCTAAAATAGTTATGATTTATTCAAAGTTGAACATCATTATGAAAAATGGGGAACGTGTACATTTAACTATATACAAATACATCTCTCTCAATAGTATATCGTTCCGATATTTAAATCCGTTTCGCTAAGGTTGCCTTGACAAAACTGCTTTCAGCAATAAGGCCGCCTTATTGTATACATGTATTCTTAAATATATGTTTTATGTAATTTCTTTACTGTATGTTACAAATAAAGTATATTCTATAGATGTATGTATATATTGTGTTAAGGGGCTATACATTATTACGTCCCTTGGGGTGGGGGATTCATATAATGTTTTTTATTATTAATAATCACCCACCCCAGGTAATACGTTGTGAAGCATAACTCATGTATTTTTGGTACCTACAAAGTATCTGTAAATACCATTATAAACTAAATTAAAACAAAATAATTTTATGGCAAATAAAGGTATTTACCTCTCTCGACGTTTCGACTAGGTTGCACTAGCCGCGGTCACGAGCTGACTGGAGTAACAGCCATGTCAATGTAGATCAACAGAGTCAACAGAATCAACAGAGAGGATGGCTTAAAATTATCATCTGCTTGGAATCCAGTCATAAATAAATTCAAGCAAAGTTCAGTAGCATCAATAGTCAATAAGTGTACGGATACCGTGAGTACTGTGTGTCGCGAACTTTCGTTGAACAATCTAGTGACGGTAGATGAAGAAACAACTGCTGTCACCTATCTACATTGACATCGCTGTTGCTCCAGTCAGCTCGCGACCACGGCTAGTGCAACCTAGTCGTAACGTCGAGAGAGGTAAATACCTTTATTTGCCATAAAATTATTCGTGTTAAGACCCGGTTAATAATTTTAATAATGTATATTAAACAGATATAAACTATAATTTAATTTAATTCTAGAAAATACAAGGTCGCACTACATGCCACAATTCGGTTGAGAAATCGAGCGTTTCACGAAAAAGTATAAATATAAATCTCGCTAAAAATATTGAGAAGTTAATACACGCTAAATGTATAAAAAAAACACTCTAAATATATAACAAAGGAAATACACGTTAAAAATATAAAAAATAAATCATACTTAGGGGGGTATACCCCCTCTCTCCTTGTGATATTTCGTGATTTTTACCGAACCCCCTCCTCACTCGAACCTCCCGTGAATGATGGATTGCCCCTTATGGTAGTTGATAGGATTGTTATCACATAAGGAATTATTATAACACGAATGTGATGTAACATGATAGAGTTGTTATACAAACGAACTAGTGATATAGATTGTTAGTGCTTGTTATAAGTGGATATTGTCTGACAGTCGGTGGTCTAGCGGTTTGGCACGCCGCTTTTCTTCCGATGGTCGCAGGTTCGATTCCTCGCACGATTTAATATGATTGTATCTGTCTGGGTGTTTTCTATTTATATTATAATATGTATATATTTATAAATAAATGTATTTATGATTAGCTTGGGACTAGATGGCGCTGTGTAAATTGTCCAGGGATATTAATATTAATATTTGTAAATAATGCAATTTATTCGACATTCCCACTGGTTCTTTAAAGCTCTTTAAAGTTCTTTAAAGGTTAATAGGTTCTAATCTAAGTATGATAAAACTGAAGTGTATAAAAACATATATAAATAAAATTATACTTGTTAATTAGGACTGTAGAAAAGCTGGTAAAAAAAATTGGTATAAAATCATAAAATTCTAAATCCTAAGCAACCGCATTCCTATTTAAAAAGAATGTTATAAATTATTGTAGTGACGAACCATCTCGTTTCAAATAAGAACTCATTACAATCGACCTATTCGTTTAGAAGCTACGACGCCACAGACAGACATATAAAATTTATAACACTCCTCTTTAATAGGGAGTTAAAATGTATATTAATGAAAACAGAATATCAATATTAGCAAATAACCAAATAATACAAAATCTGTATAATTCTCGTGCTTGATT